ATAGGCGCGGTCAGCTTAGTCCAGCCCAGTCCAGCCACGGTTTTTGGCGGTCGCGGCCGGGCGCGCAGCGACGAGCGGGAGAAAAAACCCTCAGGAACACAACCACACACACATACACACACGCACCAATACACGCAAACGTGCCATCGCTCGGACTTCCATTCCCCGTGCATGCGTCGGCTTCGCGTGTTTTTTCTCGCAGGATGGTCCACGATGCTCCTCGATGGTCTTCGCAGAAAAAAAGAAAAGAAAACGCACACGTCCGAGCGATGCCAAACACACACACACACACACACATTCCGCTCCGCCGACAATACGTTATTGTTTGTTGGGATGTGGCGAAGCCAATTCAAGACCTGCAGCTCCCCTGGATCACACCGATGCCTGAACATGTCGAATCGAAGCGAACTTGGCAAGTCCAGCATCGGAATGACGAGATGCGGCACGAGAGCGGGAAAAGATCCGGCGCCACGGCACACGGGCCGTCCAAATGGGGCTCGTCCAATGCGTTGATCGGCCGGTACGATTAAGTCGGGCGTGTTCTCCTAAAAAAGATTTTGGACGAAAAATGAAACGTATACCAAAAATGCCCAAACATATTCAAAAATTGTCGAAAAATCGTCCCAGAGCATGTTGTTTCTATTTTGAATATTCTTCCTGTAGAGGGACAGGCCCGACTTAACGATACGACCGATGGAACCCACTGAGATGAGTCCAAGCAACGCCGCGCGCCTCCTAGCACTCCAGATCCCCACGGGTTTCAGCTGCCCGCGCCCATCCACGGCATGCCACGGCGCCTCCTAAGCCCGACTCACTTCTTCAAGGCTGCCACCTCCTCGGTTGGAGTCTCCGCCACGGCCGCCGGGGTCTCCAGGGTGCTGCCTGGGAGACTCTCAATGCACGCTTCTCACCAGCTCCTTCCCCCCAGCATCCTCGCGCCCAGAAGAGCGGAGGGAGGGGATGGCCGGGGGGCTGGGAGAGGGGAAGAGAATGATTTGAGCTGGGAGCGGAGAGGTTATGTTGCTACATCTTTTGGGGGGGCCTGTCTGTCCCATCGCGCCAGCATTGTCGTCGAATGCGCGTCGAATCGATGTCGAACGTCGAATGTACAGCGGACCTCCACGCCGAACCTGCGTCGGACATACAAGGAAACCGCCACTTGCAGGACAGACGATGCCCCCCGAATGTGCAACGTCAAGGGGGACGACCAAGAAGAGGATCAGACGAAAGTGAATTTTCTGTGGCAACTCGCGGGAGCCTCTCATGCATTGTTTCTGGCTCTCACGAATGAGCACGAACAGCCGCTAATCGACGCTGATCGGCGGTAGCCGACCTGGATCGACGCTAACCGGTGCTAGTCGGCGCAAAACGCTACAGCAAAGACATACAACGCTCCCATGATGATATGCTACGAACGATCGCGTTTCGCGGACGCCTTCTCAGGAAACATCCCGCGAGGCGCGCCGGAACCGGGACCCCATCCCAAACATTCGGCGCGCCCAGGAAAACTAAGAGGACTCCACTCGCCGCCGGCAAGGAACACCGAGTTATGAAAGGCGGGTGGTTTTCAAATTGTGGCTCTCGCCCTTGCGCCGCGCACGTCCGTCTTGAAGTTCGCAAAGAGCTTCACGGTTGCAGGAGGTGGTCTTCAAAATGTGGCTCTCGCCTGAGCGCGCCGCGCGCACTCGTTCTGCAAGTTCGCATGTGTTTCGCGGATGGACGGCGAGTGATTTTGAAAATGTGGCTCTGGCCGTTGCGCCACGCACGCTCGATTACAAGACTGCAAGGATTTTACGGATGGCGGGCGGGTCGTTCTCAACATGTGGCTCTCGCCTGGGCGCCACAAACATTCGTCTGAAACGTTTGTCTTAAAAGATTGCACGTGCTTCACGTCTAGAGGGCGGCTCCTTACCAACATGACATGTGTTTCTAGCTTGAGCGACGCGCGCATTCGCTGTAAAAGGTAGAGTTTCCCACCTGGAAGGCAGGTCGCTCTCGAAATATAGCTCTCGCCCTAGCGCCGCGCACATTCGTCATTAACGGTTGCAAGAGCTTCGCGGGAGGGCGGGGCATTCTTAAATTTTGGCTTTCGCGATAGCGCCGCGCGCATTCGTCATGGAGGTCGGTTTTTTTCTTATATGTAGCTCTCACCTCAGTGCCGCCCTCATTCGCTGTACACGACTGCAACAATTTAAAGGATGCACTTGGTTGACGTGCCAGGAACGGCGTCCTGGCACGATTCGAAGGTTGCCAGGGCGCAACGGCAAAGTTGGCTCGCGGCATGGAAGTCCAGGGAGGGGCAAGTTGGCACGATTGAAGATTCTCAAACGATTGTCTTCCAACGGGGCATTTCCAGAAGTGGGGACTTCGGCTTCGGTTGGGGTGGCTTGGCGGGCAGTGAAAACTGGCGGGTGGAATTCTCCCGGCGCGGCCGCGCTCGGACAGCTGCCCCTCCGCTGCGGCCTCCGCCGCGGACAGCGCTGCGTCCAGTCTCTCGGACTCCGCTGCGGACGGCGCTGCCTGCGCCTTGGCGACCGCGGCCGCCTCCTTGAAACAGAAGCGAACTCAAAGCCCAAGAATCACGGGTGACAAGCAGGACCATATCTCCATATCCTGGGAAGCAACGTCTGGGAGGTCTACGCAAGAACTGCTGAGCGCTGGCCGGTGAGCTGGACCAGCCCAGACAAGGCCCGGGATGAAGACCAGGGCTACAGTCGGACTGGCAGGACACGCGAGAGGACAACAGACCCTTCCGAGGGCCACATTGCCATAGGAATGCAGGAGGCACGGGTCGCGAGACACAGGACACAAAGATACCCTTGATTTGGCAGGGTCGACCTACTACTCCGGGCCGACTGTAAGCCTGATTGATCGGTGATGGCCCAGATTCAGCGGGACTGGTTGAGCGTGTTTTCGGCCATGGATGCACCAGCTCCCATGCTGAACTGAACCTCCCAGGAGTAGCATCCGAAAGATCCGCGCCCTCGCGGTCTGGACACCCGAGGAAGACCCCGTGGACGCGGCGCGACCCCAACGACATGCATGTGAAGGGGCCAGGGACACACAAAGGAATACACACAAATCCCAGGATGCCCCATATTTTCTGGATTCTCGTCTTTCCCCCCACGTCCCATATTTTCCTATATTTTCCTGGGAGTCGACGATTATTGTGTCTGTGTCGTTGATCCCTCCTGACATGTGCCGCGCCAAGCATCCGCGCAGGTCCGCCCTTGGTAGCCTCGAAGCCGGCGCCGAGGAGACCGGCCCGCGAGGCCGTTGGCAAGGAGACGCTCCCCACCCACGACGAATCAAATCCCTCTCCCAGTCCCCTAAACTGCAGAAGCACTTACCCCGTCACGCTGGGCTTGCCGCCTAGCCAGGCTGATCGATTTTGCGTGCTGGGGAGGGCCGGCCATCCTACGAGTGGAGAATGCACGGTCAGATACTGGCTGGCTGTGATGCCTATCCAATCGTTGAATTGTATGTGGGAGTACGGCTCGAGATTTACACGTCAGCTTGTTTCGAATAGCCTGCCCCAACCACGCTGGTACCCGACCCAAGCCCTGGCATAACTTGCTTAGCATACGCTGCTCCTCCCGTGAATCATCACTACTATGTCTAACCTGACAGGCCAGGCTTCTTTCCCCTTCTATTGCAATTACTTGTGCAGAAGGGCACATCTATAATCACATGTGCGCTTGTGTCTATCTGTGCCTGGAGTTGGTTTCAGGTGTTGCTCCAGAAAGTTGACCATTTTGGAGATGCGAACTGACAGATGTAGACTTGAATGGCACCACCTTGGCGTACACCCGCTCTCCTTAACCCGCCGACCCCTTATGGGTCTCTAGGCGCGTGAGATTATCCCCCCGTAATCCCCCCCCAGGGACCCCACACCGGCAATTTCACCCCACCCCCCCCTGACGCGGCCCGACCCCGGACCGAACGCGTCATAGGGGAGCGGAAGGCTCCAAAAGGGGCCAAGAAGGTACCAACACTCTCCCCAGACGGTCCCAGAGGGCAACGAGTCGCCGAAACATCGCTCTTTGACGCCCACGATGGCCTCCAAACGGCCTCCGAAGCTGCCAAGACGCCCGCAAGGGCCCCAAGATGCGTCCCAACAGGGTCACAAGAAACTAAAATCGTCCCATTCCCTTTTTGAAATGAAAGAAAAAAACATGTTTCGCGTACTCGCCTTTTTGGGTTTCACAACGTCCAAGACGGGCAAAGAAATCTTCAATATCGCACCCGCACGGCCGAAGGGGCCCCCAAGAGGGGTCAAAGAGGGTCCAAAAACAACCCACGCACGAAGCCCTCGAGACAGCCCAAGAAGGGCCCCCAGACGGCTCCACGAGGGAGTCCAGAGGGCACCATTTCGCGCCTTCGGCCCCAAGAGGCCCCCAGCCTGCCACAAGAACAAGAACAAGAGGCCCTGAGGAACCCCTAAGAGAACCTCAAAGGCATCCAAGAAGCCCCCAGGAAGCCCCCAGGAGGCCCAAAAACTTGGACCAAAGGCCACAAAAGAGCACCAAGAGGTACGATAACAGCAACGAAGCAACAGCAACGATGCCGAGTGCCGTGGCATGATTCGGACAAGCCTCGTGGAATGATGCATTCCTGGGCGCAGTAGTTTATATAGGGGTCGGCGGATGCGGCGTACGCCTATAGAATCCACGTCCAGAAGTGACGTGTTGCCGGAGGCAGGTCTGCGGAGGCGATAATGCAACGTATCCAATGTATCCAATGACCGCACGATTGCTGCATATTGCATCGTGTTACATTATTATGACTCCCCCCTACCCCCCCCCCGAGGCCACGCCACTTCCACCGACCCAAGGTGCCCCCCCCCCTCCTGGGCCTAAAAATTTACCACACCCTATAAAACATTAATTAGTTGGGCCTGTTGGCCCTCTAGGGGACACAACAGGGCCTCAAGACGGCTCGAGATGGCCCCAAGACGGCTCGAGATGGCCCCAAGACGGCCCAAGACGGCCCCAAGAGGGCCTACAAATACCCCAAGACGCCCCAAGAGGGCCCCTAGAGGACCCCCAAGAGCACCTCCAGAAGCCAAAAACCATTGATTTCCCGATGGTGTCTTGAAGATGTCAGCGTTCCCGCCTATTTCGACCCTCAGAAGTCCATGACGGCCGAAACAAGCTCAGAAGTGGCCCCCAGACGGCCCAAGACGCCCCCAAGAGGGCCCCCAAACGGCCAAAGAGGGCCCCCAGACAACCCAAAGAGGCCGCCGAGATGCCCCAAGAGGCCCCCAAGACGGCCCAAAAGTACCCCAAGACAGTCTCCGAACAGACCAGACAGCGCAAGAGCGCCCCCGAGACGCCCACACGGGGCTCCTAGAGGCCCCCAAGAGGCCTCCCAAAGGCCACCCAAAGGCCTGCCGTCGCGTAGCATTGCATTCAGAAGAATATGCAGCATACTGCTGGGGAGTACGTGATCAAATCATAGCCGAACATGCCCGTGCCTGGCCTGGCCTCTCTGAACATGTTCAGAACGACTCCAGTGTAGTCCAAATGCTCGAATGAAGGAGCTGCATGCTGCGTAGACTTGAGCAGTAATCTCGGCTTGCGCTGTATGCAGTAAGCGAGCTCTAGGCGTGGATCGGCCGAATGTGCATTTCGTTGCCGATTGGCTGTGCATACCTTGTCGCTCAGTGGTTGGAGCTTTTGAACCATTAACGGGTCTCACACAATTCGGTTCAAACTCGTCGATCCACATTGTGTGTTTAACGCGTCGAACAAACCTGTTGAACCGACGTTCGCATTTGGACTGTGACGTCGCGATCTGCGCGGACAATGCATCGTCCTTCTGTTTGTTGCTGCCGTCGTCCAAAACAAAGATCAACAACCAAACACTCGCATGCAAAACGGCCGGATAGGTGGATATGAGTTTTGATTAACGTGGCATTGATTGGCTTACCACGGTTACAACTGTACTGTTGAACATTGTCCAGCCAACCTTGTCGAGGCTCCCATCTGGTAGGATTCACGTCGCTTCTTTCATAATAGCTGGTGTCAGCTCTTCTTCCATCAGCCCTCCTTAGCTTCACTCGGCGGCGCTCCCGAAGGTGGATGTGAGATGGGGGCAGGCCTTTTCAGGAGGCGGCGGGGCTTCTCAGGAAACCTCCAGCCTGCTGCGAATATGTCTGTCTTAAGAGAAAGCTCAGAAACCTTCTCAGAAGGCCCAAGGTATTCTAAGCCTTCTGAGAAGGCCCGCCCCCTTTACATTCGCTCCTGGGCTTGCCGCTCATTCGCTTTTCTGTGGCGTGCTTTGTTTCGCCATGCGTTGCTCGATGTTCACAGTCTCGCAAGCACGCTTCGCCTAGCTTGTTTACGTGTGACAAACATGGTATGTATCTCCGATGCTGTCCGCTTCCCCTCACGAACTTCTGCTGAAGAGCATGCTTCGTGACTCCACGAACCGAATGTCTGTGTACATCGCGCCAACACCAACTGCCTATAGCCCACACCACATCCGCCAATCTAGCAAACATAGGCACTGTGATACGTAACCTCGGCATTGCTTTCATTGGTGGAATCTCCTGTCAATCAGGTGGGAGCCCTATCAAAATGAGTCCTGGGGAAAAATTTAGGCGGCCACTCCTGGGAGACTTTCGTAAAAACGGTTGAAGGCTAGAGATCCAAATTAAGGAACAACAAGCCCGCATTCAACCCAGGACCCAATCTGATAATCCGGATTGAGCGACATCAAACGGGATTGTGCTGGTATCATGCCGTTTTACGATCACGGATAAACCAACGCCGATGCGGAGAGAAACCTACCATGATCTTCGTCAGAACCATCTTGGCAAATTGTCCGAGCCGCGTCCAACCTAAACACACCTGAATCCGGCGCGACCCCAATTACGGGATAGTTTTTTACTGCAGGCGCGCACTGCTTTGCATTGCTTGGCATTGCTTGGCAATACTCGGCATTGCTTGGCATTGATTGGCATTGCTTGTCATTGCTTGGCATTGCTCGGCATCGCTTGGCATTGCTTGGCATTGTTCGGCATCGCTTAGTATTGAGTTGCATTGCTTGGCATTGCGTGGACCCTCTGGGCAACGGACAAAGTCACATTAGGAGGTACCAACCTGTCACCAAGTAAGAACTCCTCAAGCAAGCCTAGCGTTGCTTGGAATTGCCGCGGAACCCGCGGAACCCGAGGAAGGTCTGGGGAACGGGCGAAGTTGTGTTAGGAGTCACCGTTCTTCTCAACCAAATAAGAACCCCCTTAGGCAAACCTAACTGGAGAAAACACCTTTGGGGCAACGCCGCAAATGGAAGGGACACGTTTCTCTCTGAGATAACCCGGGTTATCCGATGAGGAGCGCGGAGGTGAGGTGCGAGCCGATACTCGAACCTTTTCGCTTCGGTCTGCCCCAGGTATGCTCGCGCGCACAAAGAACTATTCGGACCTGCGCAACCGGCATAAACACATGATCCGTGGGGGCGGGCCCGACAACCCGCGTTATCGCCGGACCCTGAACAAAAAAGGCACGAACCCGGTGCGCCAAGCCATGCGAAGCCACCCCGACCAAGAAACCGCCTCCCGAGCTTCGCGCCCTCTGCGCCGAGCGCGCGAGGCTGTGCGGGTTGTACACGAGCCGGCCGGGGGGGGCGCCGCCACAGACGCTGCTCTGGTGGCGGGGTGACCCACGGCTTGTCCCGAACCTGGCCCTGCTGCCGGGGCGTGCAGCTTGGAGGCGGCCGGGGGGTCTCAGCTGGAAAGGCCCCGGGAACATCGATCAGGAGGGGGGGATGAAGCCAAATCGGCTCAAAACCGTCCCCTGGTGCAAATTTTCACCCAGGAGCCGTTTCGGCGGTCCTGGGGCCCAAGATCGGCCCTGGTAGAGCAAAACAAGGCAACAACAACAAAAAACTTCTCGAGCCCAGAATCTCGATTCCCGAAAGGGGGAGATGAGACCAAATCGGTTCAAAATCGGTCCCCGGACCCCTCCTTGGATCCAGTTGGTAAAATTTTCATCCAGGATCAATTTCTGACGATCTCGGGGCCCGAAAACGGCCCCTGGAAACAGAAACGGCTACAACCTTCCCGAACCCCGGGCCTGCTGGCCCTGCTTGCTGGCCGGAACGAGGGCTGGGGCATCTCAGATCCCCAGCTGGCTCCACCTTACCGCTCCCTCCCAGCTCCCACGATCAGGGCGCCCATCTGGGGCATTTTGTTGTGGCGTGGGCCTGACACCAGCTGGACTTCTGGTAACTAGAGGCCTCTTAGATGGGATCGGAGTAGATGGGGTCGGAGGATCGCGCCGCATCGCCGATACATCAACGATACATCGGCGATGCATCGGCGACGCACCGGCGATGCACCGGCGATGCACCGGCGAGGCATCGTCGACGTTGGCGATGCATCGGCGACGTCATCGTGAAGCAAATCGGCTGCACATCGAGCCGCATCGGCGATGCATCGGCGATGCGGCGCGATCCTCCGACCTACTCTGACCCCATCCAGGAGGCCCAGAGTAACCGCGATGCTTCGGAGTTTATGGGGCTCACTGGTCCTTGGCAGCCTTCACTGCCTCCTGCATGACTGCGATCGCCTTGCAAGGGATTGACAATCCGTGGGTGCGCACATCCTTGACTCAAGCGCATGCCCAGCGGCCACCCCCAGCTGAGGGCTGCATAGAACACCCCCCACCCTCGACCACGTCCTCTTCTGCGTCTGCCTCCGCCTCCGCCTTTACCTCCGCCTCCTCCATCTTCGTCTCTTTGTCCTTGCCCTCCTCCTCCTCCTCCTCACCCTCGGCCGCGATCCTGCACTCCCCCTCCTATTTTACTCCCAACCTCCTCGACGGGGGCATTCCCAGTCCAGCTCCCTGTTCCATACTGCGCTCCCGTCCTCTTCTCCACAGCCTCCTCTCCAGGATTGATATTTCGGACCAGACGTAGCTTCCAACAACAGGGAGAGGCACCGCCGCCAATGGTCGAACGCGGCAACTCCGAATCAAAAACAATGGCATCGTCTGGGCGCGTACCCTGTGCTGCCACGGCATTCCTAGAGGCCTCCTAGATGGGGTCCGAGGATCGCGCCGCATCGCCAATTCATCGCCGATGCATCGGCGATGCATCGGCGACGTCGGCGATGCATCGGCGACGTCGGCGTGGGAAAACACGGGCTCCACATCGAGCCGCATCGGCCTTCCGCCAGAGCAGGGGCGCCGACCTGTTGAGCTCTCGAAGGCGAGGCCCTCCCTGGAGTTAAGTCGGGCGTGTCCCCCTACAGGGGGATTTCTAACCGAAAATGAAAGTGCGCAGAAAGCCATCAAATAGTCAAAAAATACAAACCAAACAAAAAGTGCCCAGACTATGTTTTGATATTTTTGAATTTTCCCCCTGTAGAGGGACGAGCCCGACTTAACCCTGAAGCCCCCCCCCCAACGTGCGCGCGGCGCTCCACCGCAGGCGCCGCTCCTGCACGAAAGCATGGACGCTACGCCCCCCGATGGGCCCCGACCCCCCCGCCCCGGGCCCGGCGGCACGCTCCCCACGGCAGCAGCGCGGCCGGGGCCCGGAGCCGGACCCCGGTGGCCTCCTCCCGCCTCCCTCCCCGATGCTCTCTCGCAAGTCCAGGATCGACAAGATCGGGGCCCCTGCCTGTTGTTCGTACTCTCTGGGCCCCCACGGGCCCCAGCGGCCACCGCACCCTGGGAGCGACCAGGGCGCGGCGCTCTGCAGGAGGCGGCCCAGTCTGCACCGCTCGGACCATCGATGACATGCGCTGCGGACTCTTACAGCGGGGCGGGCCCCGACGCGTCCCACCGAACATGCCCTGCCGGGCCCCCCTGGCCAGCCACTCCGCGCCGCAGTCCCCGCTGACCCTCCGAACGACTTTCGCGCGGGACCTTCTCCGAGCGTCCGAGCATGCCCATCGTGGCCAGTAGCGGCGCCGAATGCCAACGGCCTCTGCTCCCGCGTGCCAAGAAGGAAACCAAGCCGCCCGCGCCACCCGTCGACATCCACCTGCTCTGGCCACCCTCGCCGCGCGGAACAGCGCATACACGAGCGAGCCAGCAGCACTTTGTTTGTCTCTCTGCAACGGTAGCGTTTACCCGGCAATCGTCCCACGCGCGTGCATCCATACAGGAGGACGTCGCGCTAGCACTAAGGGTGCGGACCCGGGAACCTGCCATCGCTCGGACGTCTCTCCCCCGTGTACTTCTCGGCCTCGGGCGCGTGTGTTATTCTTCTGCTCGGTGATCCAGGAGGCTCCTCGATGCTCCTCGCCGAGAAAACGTGCACATCTCCCAGCTATGCCACGGGAAAGAAACACGATTACAAATAAATCAACTCACAAGGGCCCCGACCGCCTGACCGCAAGCAAGAGACTCCTCGGAGGATTTGAGCAGGGACCGACCGTCCCGGCATTCCTATCGGCCTAAAACGAACTGTTCTTAGAGTCCAATAATGCTCTAAGAATAAAAGCGATGTTCTTAGAACATGACCCCGATGTGTGAAAACAAAACAGACTCTGCCAGAAATGCTCGAATCACATTTCGTGCCAACCGCAACATATTCTTAGAACGTTAGTTGGTGGGCCTATAGTTGTGGATGCCACGACAATGGACACTCTGGCAGTCCTATCATTGAATTAACCAGGTGTTTAGAATGTAGGAAAATGTTCTACAAATGCTTCAAACATGTTCTTACATAGTTTGGCCAAGTTTTAACATTTTCAGACATCTGGAAATTATTTGGCAGCATGCTTCCTCTCCATTAATCGACTTCCGCAAGCCTGACGGCGAGCCAAGACGCTTCGCCACTGCTTGAAGGACACCGTCGACTGGCACGCACGGCATCCGCTTCCTCAAGACACGCAACACCTCTCGGGGCCCCCTGCGCCGCCAGGCTGGGCCTCACCAGGCACGCCCCAGGCGCAGGCTGGGCCGCCAGGCTGGACCGCCAGGCTGGGCCCCAAGCCTGCACACGCATACCCAGGAGAATGACGGCCCCCGAACTCCGACGATACGAACGAACAAATTTCAATACCGCAAAACAAATCCCGACAGGAGACCCAGACCCCAATCTTTCTGAACATTTTGTGAGCTGGATCGATCTGTGATGGTCCAGGATCCCGAAGCCCAACAAAAACGCCGGGCGTGAAAAGATTGCCACGCTCGGCAAGAAACATATTGGCATACGCAGACACGCTCGCCCTGAGAATATTTGGGCCTGCAACCATCCTCGAACTCAAGCGCAAATACTTAGCCGACCCCCTCGACCCCGAACTTCGTTCAATGTTGACCGACGTGCGCCAGGCGGCCCACGGGGACAAACAACAAATGCAGTCGATAGTTCTGGCGCGAACATTGAAATATGGGTGTCAGAGGGTGCCACCACGTCGCGAAAAAAACCTGCGCTTGATCTCGAGGGGGGATGTCGTCGCTCAATCACCCTGGCCTTCTTCTCTGCCGCGATGGCCGCCGCCAAATTGTCGGCCGCACCTGCGGGCGCACCCACCGCCTCCTCCTCCTCGTCAGCCAACGTGGTGTCATCGAGCTGTCGTCTGGCCGCCTCTTCCGTCGTCGTGCCGCTCTCCAGCGCGTCCTGCCCAGTGATGTTAGTGATGTTATCCCAAGGGAACCACTCCTTGTTTTCCGACATCCGGACGAGTGGCATGTGCACCGTGCACGGCATCTCCTTGGTGCATAGCCCACCCCCGGTGGCGAACGATGTGTTCACAATGGCGTAGTTGCCACCAGGCCCTTTTGCACCGGCGGTGCAAGCGAGCTGCGAGCGGAACTTGCAGCATGTTGAGGGACCGGTGCGGTACATGTATTCCCCCACCGTCAAAATGGCGCACTTTTTATAACACAAGCCGTTGAGAAGCTCCTCGTTCGCTAAGCACGCACCTGGGGTGTGTGGGCACATGCCGTTGGCCGTATCGCCTGACACGGAATACCCACCGCATATGCCCATCTTGAACGCCGTCCGATCCCAATCGCACGGGGCGCTCCTGCAGCAGGAGAACGCGCTTGTGCGAAAAGGGTGCGTGCCGAACGTGAGGAGCTCACATCGCTTGTAGCACAGGCCCGCGTGCTCCTCCTCGTCGTCGTAACAAAGATTCCCATCATGGCGCTGCAATCGAGGGAACAGCATCGCCCTCATCTGCGACTCGTTCATCCCTTGCGTCTCGTTCGGTAAGAACTTTTTCCAAGAAGGGTCCAGCACGATCGACTTGTTGACGCCGACCTTGAGCATCGCCTCCAATGTGGAGATCTCTTTGCTCATGTCCGAGTTGTTGAGAAGCCCGTTGAAGTCTTTGTAGCCACCACCAATGGCCTTCATTCGCGCCATGAAAGAGGAACAGGGTTCCCTGGTGGAAGCGGGCCCCCCACCCCGCGACGTTTTTGACGACCGCCCTGGGCCCTGGCCTGGGAAGTGCTGCGGTAGCCCGCCTCTTGGGCTCGTATCCTCCGGGACCCCTCTCCTCTCCTTTGCGAGGAGCGCAGGAGGAGAGAGGGCGAGAGGGAACTACACAGTTCGGGCTGCTGGAATAAGAAGCGATACTTCAGGAGCGGAACCCTTTCTTCTTCCAAGTCGAGCTGTGAAATCTGAAGGAACGGCTGTAAAACCCGAAGGAGCACCGAAAAGCTCGCCACCAAGAAAACAACGGGGCGCATGCAAACCTAAGAAACCACCGACCCCGAACAGGACCTAATTTCAACGACTTACCGTTGAGGGAGACCGGCTAAAGGGGGAATCCATCGAATCGAAATCAGCGACGCATCGCCGACTAATCGGCGATAGGCCCCAGAAAGCGAAGCAGCGCATTCCTGGGCCAGTTGCGCTATCGGGCCCCCGTCGGCGATAATGGGTCGCCCCTCGGATCATAAATCGGATAACGGGCGGCTGTTCGAACGATCCGCGCAACCTCAGAACAGCCTCGCCAAGGCGCAGCTGCTGAAAGGCATCCCGAGGCTGGAAGACCGCCGATGACCGACGAACTTGTCGAATAACGACGCTGCAATTTCGCTACCGCGGAGACCACATACTCAATGTAATGCTGATGTGATCGGTTACCTTGTTAACATCAACGCGCGATCTTGCGTTCTGAACCCTCAAGGACTGCGGGTCAGCGCCCGCGCTGCTGGCATCAGGGATGCGCCGAACCTTGGCTGGCGCCGGGCCGTCTTCTGTCGCCACCTCTGCCGGACATGCCTGGACGACCGCGACCAAAGATACGGCGCGGAATCATACCAAATAAGACTTGGCCGAAAGAGACCCGAGCAAACCGACTTCAGTCAAGCCGACCTGGCCTGATCAGACCGCACGTGCGACCATGGCAAGCTGGGACGGGCAGGACCAGTGCAGCCCAGAATAGAATGGCGCAGCAACTAAAACTGGACGGATTGCTAGGGACTCACGAGGCGCATCGAACTCATCAGGACGATACATACATCGGCCACACGGAAAAGCGATCCTGGGCTAGAGTGATCTGTGATGCGCGGTTTCTGTGGGGGGACCACACCCAAGAACGCAAGTCGCTGCTATCGCGCCGCGCTCAGCGGACGGGGGGCCCCAGTGGGCCCACACCAATGGGCACTCCAGCGCAAAAGGTCTCTCTTACGTGTAGTCGTCGACAATCACTGGAAGAGTGTTGAAATCGTCGATGCCCACAGAAGTCCTTCGCCGCCTTTGCGCCGGTAAGCATGACCTCCGCCGCGCCGGCCAGCGCACCAAAGAGGAAGAGCCCCGTCGTCTCACCTGGTTGAGGGCTGACCTCCCGCACCCACGCCCGAAATCCGCTTCTGGGTAACACAAGGGGGGGCGACTCGCACGGGTTCGAGGTTCGAGATTCGGATGCCTTCGATGGTGTTCGACGGTTCTCCAGCTTGCGGGAGCATTCCAGGGGTGCCCGAATCGTCCCGAACGGCCGCAGGAGAGCTGGGCTGACCCGAAAAACGGAGGAGGACGGAGACGGAGAAGAGGGATGGGAGGAGGAGGCGGGATCGGCTCGGTGCACATGGAGTCATGGTTTCGGCTCACGATCGAGGCCCTTCAAGGCCTCAATGAAGTCCCCTCGGACAGGAGCAGGAGGAACGAGGAGGATGGGGCAAGAGGGGAGGTGTCCTGGGGCCATGTTGAACGGTACCTGGGAAGCCTCTCGCTCTGGGCGTGAGGGAGTATCCCGAAACAGTGGCGATCCTTCGACACTCAACGCAACGTGTTGGCTACCCGCCCGAACAGGCTAAGCCCAACGAGAGCCCAGCTGCCTCGAACTCTGCTCTCACTCAGGGCTCTTCGTGGCGCGAGAAACACAAACACCGCTGTTGCGACTCGCAGGTCGTAGCCCAGAAGAGGGGCCCGGGCTGCGCTGGCCGCTGGCCCTGCTTAACTCGGGGTCCACCAAAGGGGGGAGACCTCGTTTTGCATAGTTTGTCTGCGGTTCGATGCGCCAACGGACCGAACTCAGCCCCCCCCCTGTGGCACCACCCCGCTTAGCGAGGTTCCGATTAGATTAACGCGATCTCCCGGTCGGTCATGAGTGCCACGGTCAATGCAGAAGAAACAGAAAAACACCATAAACATAAACTTTTTGGCGGTCCGCGCGGATTTCTTAGATCTGCGCAGGACCCCCCTCCTTTGGCGCGCGGAGCGCGCCAGGGGCAGCGCTGGAGGCGCCGCCAGGAGGGCCCGGCGCGGATCCAAGAAATCCGCGCGGAGCTCCACAAGTTTATGTTTATGGCGCTTGTTGTTCTTCGACCATGTTTTCTGCGATGTTCGTCCTGCCGTCCGCAGCGCTGTAAAGCAGCAGCGGCACGCGCGGCAGTATGCTGCACGCGCGACGGCGTTATTAGATGCACCGCACTGGCCCTCGCGCTCGCATTTTTCCACCCCGCGCCCGGGCCCCCGGAGGAAGCCCCCTCCTCGCATCGCCCAGAAACCAGACATGATGGGTCAATTCTCCACCACCACTACCATAAGTTGGACAGTGGAAAAGGGAGGATGAGGAGGTCCCCCTCCTTCTCCTCCTCCTCCTCCTCCTCCTCTTCCTCCTCCCTCTCCTACCTATGGTAGTGGTGGTGGATAGTAGTCGGCCTATCAAGAAGCATCAACATCCTCATGCTCTCCGAATCTGGAGCCCCGACCCGGATCCCTGGGGAGCGGTGGATGTGGACCCAGACCCCCGACGTCATGATTTCTGCGCAGCGTCGACTCCCAGAGACATCGACCCACTCCTCGGGCCGAGCTTCTCATCCTGAATCGTGCGTCCACGGTTCAGGGGCCCGGCGAGGGAACCCAGAAGGCCGACATCAGCAAGAAGCACGTGTCCGTCGCGAGTTCTCAAGAGTAGAAGAACGAAAACACATAAACAACAACTTTTGGCTCCCCGCGCAGATTGCTTGGACCTGCGCTGGACCCCCCCCCTGTTTGGCGCGCGGAACACGCCAGGGAGGGGGGTCTAAGAAGTCCGCGCCCCAGGGAGGGGGCCCTCCGCGGATCCAAGAAATGCGCGCGGAGCGCCACGAGTTTATGTTCAGGGCGTGCTTCTCTCTCTCTCTCTCTCTCTCTCTCTCTCTCTTCGAACAAAACAGGGCGTCTGGGGATATCCCCCCATACATGCGACGTCCTCATTGTTTCAAGACGGCGTCCCTGGAAGTCCCGACCGTTTCCCCAGGACCGGTTTCTCCTCCGGAGTCCTTGTTGGACGGCCCCGAGGCCCGGCGAGGGACCCCCGTGGCCGGGGCCGAGAATCGCAGAGAACCTGCCGACCATATGACCTAACAGCGAAGACTGATAGGTTTGGGGTCAAAAGAAACATCCTGATTCCCCAGGGGGGTCTGGGCAGGATCCGGGGGATGCCGGGGAAAACCGGGGACTGCATTTTTAGCCAGCAGTAAGGCACTCCGTGGTCTTCGAGTTCCCAGAACTCCATTCCTGGGCATGATTTTGAATGCCTGGAGCCAACAGTGAGCCACTTCGTGGTTTTCGAGTTTCCAGAACTCCATTCCCGGGCCACATTTTGAATGCTGAGGCAGGCTGATGCTGAGGCTGTGGCAGGCTGAGGCTGAGGCTGAGGCAGGCTGAGGCTGATGCAGGCTGAGGCTGAGGCAGGCTGAGGCTGACGCCGAGGCTGAAGGCAGATTGAGGCTGAGGCTGAAGCAGGCTGAGGCTGAGGCAGAGGCAGGCTGAGGCTGAGGCTGAGGCAGGCTGAGGCAGGCTGAGGCTGAGGCAGGCTGAGGCTGAGGCTGAGACTGATGCAGGCTGAGGCTGAGGCAGCCTGAGGCTGAGGCTGAAGGCAGCCCGAGGCTGAGGCCGACGGCAGACTGAGGCTGAGGCTGAAGCAGGCTGAGGCTGAGGCTGAGGCAGGCTGATGCTCAGGCAGGCTGAGGCTGAGGCTGAGGCTGAGGCTGAGGCTGATGCAGGCTGAGGCTGAGGCAGGCGGAGGCTGAGGCCGAGGCTGAAGACAGACTGGTGCTGAGGCTGAAGCAGGCTGAGGCTGAGGCTGAGCCAGGCTGAGGCTGAGGCTGAGGCAGGCTGATGCTGAGGCAGCTGAGGCTAAGGCTGAGGCTGATGCAGGCTGAGGCTGAGGCTGAGGCTGAGGCTGAGGCCGAGGCTGAAGGCAGACTGAGGCTGAGGCTGAAGCAGGCTGAGGCTGAGGCAGAGGCAGGCTGAGGCTGAGGCTGAAGCAGGCTGAGGCAGGCTGAGGCTGAGGCTGAGGCTGAGGCAGGCTCAGGCTGAGGCAGGCGGAGGCTGAGGCCGAGGCTGCAGGCAGACTGAGACTGAGGCTGAAGCAGGCTGAGGCTGAGGCAGAGGCAGGCTGAGGCTGAGGCTGTGGCAGGCTGAGGCTGAGGCAGACTGAGGCTGAGGCTGAGGCTGATGCAGGCTGAGGCTGAGGCAGCCTGAGGCTGAGGCCGAGGCTGAGGCCGAGGCAGCCCGAGGCTGAGGCCGACGGCAGACTGAGGCTGAGGCTGAAGCAGGCTGAGGCTGAGGCAGAGGCAGGCTGAGGCTGAGGCTGAGGCTGGCTGAGGCTGAGGCAGGCTCAGGCTGAGGCTGATGCTGATGCAGGCTGAGGCTGAGGCAGGCTGAGGCTGAGGCTGAGGCAGGCTGAGGCTGAGGCTGTCACTGCGACTGCCGTTGCCGCTGCAACTGTCATCTTGAATGCGACTACGACTGCGAGGACAGCAGGATTCTACAACTGGATTCTCATCTGAATCTTAAGGGGTATCCTTCCAAATGTGTTCCTGCACATCGCTGGTAGGTTGATTCACCGGGATATTTTTTATGACGCGATCATGCCTGGGTCCCCCCCCCCCCCGCTCCACATGGAGCCTAGTTTTCGCCCCCTGGCGCTGTCCGATCTGGGGCCCGTCTTGGACCTGCCTTTGGAACGCACTCCACTGCACCGACCTTGCAGACGTGCTCCAACGGAGTTTGTCCGTTTTTGCGAATCGACGCTGGTCGACAGTCATCGACGCTAGATCGACGCTAACTAATGCCACATCGGCGCTATTTAAACGATTCCAGGACGCTGATCGACGCTAGAGACGGGATTAACGAGGGTATACGTAGCACCCCGCATATGCGAATCAGAGAGAGAGAGAGAGAAAGAGAGAGAGAGCGGTGCGGACGTTGGCAGTTTGCGGGACTCTGGAGAAGCCCGCTGCAAGCGCCAAATTTGCACAACTTATACAACGAGCCCGCCGCGGGCGCACATTTTTTCGTTAAACCGATGTGGGTAGGTCGCGGGTGCGTCTCACACGGGTCGCGGGTGGGTCGCTGCTCGGTCGCGGGTGGGCCGGGCAGAAAATCCACCCCATATAATCACCCCGACAAGCGAAACCGTTTAGAAAACTCCTACAAGGAATGAATCGAACAAGGCAAGGCTGTTTAGTAAACGCCCTAGGCCGTGCAATAAACATGTCGGGTCCGGGTGGTTTCTCCCCCCTCGAGGGTGGGTCGAGGGGTGGGTCGCGGGTGGGTTGCGGGATGGGTCGCGGGTGGGTCGCGGGTTGGGTCGCCGGTGGGTGTCGGGTCGGGTCGCGGGTCGGTCGCGGAATGGGTCTCCGGTTGGGTCGCGGGTGGGTAGCGGGGTGGGTCGCGGATGGGTCGCGGGTTGGTCGCGGGTGGGTCGCGGGGTGGGTCGCCGGTGGGTGTCGGGTCGGGTCGCGGGTCGGTCGCGGAATGGGTCGCGGGCTGGGTCGCGGGGCGGGTCGCGGGTCGGGCGACGACAAGAAACAACAATAACATGAACAACAACTCGCATTTACCATCATGGGCCGCGCTTCCACCTGTCACATGCATCCTTCTGGGTACCACGCCCCACCGTGGGGGATGTTTCTGGCGCGCGGGGCCCGACATTCCCTCGCCCAGATCTCCCGCCCGGGAAAGCATTGCCGCCACCTCTGCCGGGGAACTTCGACATCCACAGCTCGCGCGGCACATCGCCATCACGATCACCTTGCGCAAGCCCCGCATCTCGGAGGAGGATGCAGAGGACGAGGAGGGGGGGGAAGATGAGGGAGAGGAAGAGGGAGAGGAGGAGGAGGAGGAGGAGGAGGAGGAGGAGGAGGAGGAGGAGGAGGAGGAGGAGGAGGAGGGAGGAGGGGGAGGAAGGGGGAGTAGCTGTAGTAGCAGTACCTCCGATGACGAGGTGTCTCTTGCTCCTCGTTCGAACTGTTACGCCACCATCCTGCGTCCTCGGCGCGTGGCCCTGACAGTTCACGCCCCCAGGCGCCGCCGCTCCCACACTCGCATCCTCC